TGAGTGTTTCAGTCATTGTTTTCTTGGTGTGCAGTAGGAAATTGGGGGGAAGAAGTCGGTTTGGTTTGAGCTTTATTGTGGTAGTGTTGGATGGACTGGATGATCTTAGAGGTCTTGTCCAACCATAATGATTCTCTCTCCTGCTGGGCTCCCAGCAGAGGGGTTCCCCCCTCGGGGCATTGCTGGGGCTCCTCTGGCTCTGCTCCAGCAGGTCCCTGGCTCTGCTGGCCTGAGGACCCCAGGGCTGGACCCAGCTCCAGGCTGATGCACTCTGCTGGAGCTCTGCACCACCCCCAGGTCCCACACTGGAGGACTGGACCACAGGAGCTGGCTGGAGGTGGTTCCATGGTCCCCCAAACTCTCCCTTGCAGGCTGCCGCTGCCTTGGGCAGCATCTCCTGGGATTCCATGAGCACCCCTGGAGCAGAGGTCTGACAAGGGGGATGGGCTCCCAAGGGGTGTGTTTGACCAGCAGCTGGGGCTGTGCAGTGCTCGGGTGCAGCCAGCTCAGGGGCAGAGGGGCTGGCAGCAGTGTGGGGCCTGAAGAGCAGCACTGTGCCTGGGGGAAACCCAAAAATCCAGGGATACGGGCAGGCAGGGTGTTGGGGGTCAGTTGGCTCCTGACTTTAATTAAAGAGCTTGCTTGATGTTGTGGAAAAGTGGGGATGGCAAAGACCCCTCTGGGTGAGGCTGAGGACCTCAGCAGGGCTCACATGTGGTCAGTGTTGAGCTGGGTTGGTGTTTAAGTCTTTATGGCTTCCAGAGCACACACGTTGAACTCAAACCCCTTGGAAGTATTTTTTCTTTTAGACACAGAATCATAGAATTGTGTAGCTTGGAAAAGACCTTCCAGATCAATCCCCACATCTCCATGGCTCCTAAACCCCTCCAGGGATGGTGATTCCACCACTGCCCTGGGCAGCCTGGTCCAGGGCTTGACAGCCCTTTCAGTGGAGAAGTTTTTCCTCGTGTCCAACCCAAACCTCCCTGGTGCAACTTGAGGCTGTTTCCTCTTGTCCTAGTGCTTGTGACTTTTGAGAAGGGACCAGACATGGAAAAGATTCTGGATCCTTTAGGAAGCTATTCAGTGCTTGCTGTGATTTTATTTTTAATTTGATTTTTTTTGTTCTTCTGGTTGTATTGAGTTCTGGTGCCCATTTCCAGTGCTAAAATACCAGAGATTCACGTGGGAGATGGCACTGAGATGGGGGGTTTGGTGGTGGGAAAGCTTTGGTAGAAATCAGATGCCTTGTGGCTCCATGTGCATTCCCCTGGGTAGGGGCAGACCAGCACGTTGCACTGGAAGTCCAGTTGTGTTGTAGTTGCCTCTTTTGGCTATTCCAGGCAAAAAAAGAAGAGGCAGCCAGGTCAGTGTCTGTGTTGGGTCCTTTGGTCCTCACCTCCTGATGCAGAAGAGCTCTCGTGGGCTGCAAGGATGAGCCAAACCCAGAGATTCACTGGATCATTTAACAAAGTCACCAGGAACCACGTTCTGCTTGTGTGTGTTAATCCTTCCTTTTTTTTTCCTCCAAGACAGATGAAAAGTTCAAAAGATCTTTAACCTCCTTGAGTATTTTTTTTCCCTTTATTTTTTTTAATGTGGGTCTTTGAGGAGAGATATTCACAACCCTTTGGTAGAGATGTTTTCCTGCAGGCAAGTCTGAAGACAAGGACTGAAGACTGTAATAATCAAGGGGAATTTAAAATTCATAATGTTGTCTGTACAGTGAGTTTTCAGAATACTGATTCCTTTTTAATCTGGAAGGGAAGGGCTTGGACTGCTCTTTTTGGGCAAGAGTGCATCCTCACATCTCTCAAAGTATTAGTAGCCTTTACTTCTGTCTTGATAAATAGAATAATTTCTATTCTTTTGGCTGTTTTGTCTTCAAGGAGGAAAACCTCATGGTTTCACTTTTTAACGTGTTGGACAACGTCAGTGGCCCAAAGTCAGGATTTGGGGTTTTGTGTCTGGCTGCAGAGGCAGCAGGTGAATGTAGAGGGGGCACTGGTGCAGACTGGGGGGACCAGAGGCGTTTGGTGGAGTTTGGAGAGGATGCTGAGTGTGCTCTGTGCTGGACAGGGCAGGTCTGGTGGGTCTCAGCAGGGCTGGCTGTCCTGTGCCCATGGAAAAGAGAGAATTGAAGGCCTGGAGTGAGGGATCAGAGGAGTGGTTTGCCTGCCTAAAGCTGTCCAGGGACCATTAAAACAAGGGTGATGTACACAGGGTTATGGCACTGAGATGCTGGGAGTTGTTCATGCTAAGGGTGGATTTTAGAATATTTACAGCTGTGGGTGCCTCATCCCTTCAAGGCCAGGTTGGATGGACCCTGGAGGAACCTGCTCTAGCTGGGGATGTCCCTGCTCCCTTCAGGGGGTTGGACTAGGTGACCTTGAAAGGTCCCTTCCCACCCAAAGCAGTCAGGGATTCCATGATTCTAATCTCTTCATTGCTTCTTCAACTGCTCTTTGATGGCTTCACATCAAAATGTGCTGCCCATGTTGGATGCTTCCCCCTGATCTGGTGGGGCTGAGGAGGGCAGAGCTGGCAGGCTGGGCAAGGGCATTGAAACAGGATCTGTTGTTTCAGCAGAGAACTGCCCAGGGTGTAGCAGGACTTGGCAAAAGCAGAGTGGAGGAAATCACTGCTAGGAAAAGAAATCTGCAGCATTTTCTTCACAGAGGAGTGTATTGGTGACAGTGTTTCACTGCTGTTTCCAGGGCATGGGATTCAGAAATTCTTGTAAACGTGGGGTGATTAATGATGATGCCAATAAAAAACCCTTTCAAGGAGCTTTTGGAAATAGAGTAAAATCTGATTTGTCTCTGAGCCCTTCTCTCCAGCTGAGCTGGGGGCAGGTGACAGTCCCCAGCTCTCCACGACTCACGTCCTGGGGCAGCTTCCAGTTGCTTGGGCAAATCACATGTTGTCACAGAGACTGATGGATTACTGAGGTGATTGTTTAGTTGCCTACAAAGCAGGAGAGTGGGTTTGAAGCCCTGTTCTTGCTCTCCTCTCAAGCATTAACAATTATAGGGATAGTCCTTCCTTCGTGGAATTATTTAGCAGGATGGAGGGAGGTAGAACTTCATCAAAAGCAGGGGAAATCACCCAAACTTCTTTCAACTGACTGATGCAACTTTAATAAGGGGATTGATGAAAGTTTAATAAGGATGCCCTGCCTCAGGAACGTTCCTCCTCTGTGCTGGTGGAAGACTCCAGCTAGCCAAGAAACTGAGGCTTATTATTTTGCTGCTATCCTGGGCTCTTTGGGGAAATTACATCTTCTCCGAAATAAAAGGATCAAATGAGAAGTAAACAACCTTGCTGCTCATGTAGCCTGTAGGAAGCCAGTGGAAAAGGAGTTTTTCCAGACAATGTTAGTTTTCATAAGAGTTAGAGGAGCTGTTTTGTGGGTTTTTCCCAGGCTCTGGCAGGTCAGGTGTTTAACCCACCAGTCTGTGCTAGGCTTCAAGTGGGTGAACCAGAAACTTGGATTAAACATTTGAATTACTTGGACACAGATTATTAATTCTTTTATTTCCATGGTGACTGGATAATCTGGTTTTTGTCTATCTGTGGCTGAATGATCAAAACTAAGATTTTGGGGATTTTTTCCTCTGTGCCTGTTCACTAGTGCCCGTGCAGATGTTTGATGTGGATTCTTCTTGGCATTGCCAAACACAGCAGAAATAATGGAAGTCTTTCCTGAGGCTTCCTGAAAATATTTGGTTTTCATAGTTTATTTTTTTTTGGCAAATAATGGTCTATGAAGAGTTAGGAGCAAAGCTGCCAAAAGTTTAGTAGAATAGCCTCAGGAGACCCAATTAGCTACAACCAAAGCAGAGTCCCTTCCAAAACCACTGACCTGCTGTTTCCCCAACACCAGCTGGGGCTGAGCCAGCACTTGGTGTCTGAAGTCAAAGCTTTAGAGATGTTTCAGGCCAGAGGAGGGTGGAGGAGCCTGGATGAGATGTTCCTGGTGGAGATGCACCTAGAAAAAGATACCTTGCAAACTCATGGAATGCCTGAAGTGAGGAGTCTGATCAAATAGTGTTTTTTTTTGTTGCAGAGCTACAGTTGGCTCTTATTGCCTGAAGGATTTCCACATGAACTGAAAACATTTGCTGAATGACATAATAAGCTAATGATTGCTTAATTTTTGGATGCACAGCTCAGTGTAGAGAGCAACAGCTGGTGTTTGTCAAATTAAGGCTTTCTCCTTAAGACTTTTACCACTCATTTTCTTGTTTATTTAACATATTTAGCCAAGATTGAGCTCTGAAGGTCTTTCCCCTAAGCTTGTTAGACTGAAAGGTGAGTGTTGCATAGACTAAAGAGCCTTGATTTGGGAGAGCTCTGAGTTCCTATGGAAAAGGTCCCTGCAGGAGATGTATTCAGCATGAAGGATACTACTATGTAAAACTTATAAAACTGTGGGGTGTGTGTATAATACAAGAGAACAGCCCAGAAACATCAGGTGGTTAATACTGCAAGTACCCAAAAAATGCAAATTTGAAGTTAGACAACTTATATTTTGGAAAAAAAAAACAGAATAAGGGTGGTTTTGCATCGTTATGAAGCTGTGGGAGCTGAAGAAAACTCCAACCAATGTGTTAATATTTCACTTCTTTATTGAGATTTTTTTTTTTTAATGTAAATTTAATAACCTTGCCCAGTTTATAGATGACTCACTGGTGTCTTGTCCCTCGAGGTTCCCATGATATCTTCACATATATGCGGTTTTAATAGCTAAAAATACACCAACCCAAAGCTAGGAGTCTAAGGATAAAAAATTAGGAACAGGGCTTTGAGAATCCTTAGAAAATATAGAATACAATATATAGAAAATCTCCTGTCTCACCAAGGGGACGTGGGAGCAGCAGAGACCACGTGGGGAATGCTGCAGACCTGGGTTCCATCCTGTGGGGAGAACCTCATCCTGGGTGAATCCCCTGGCTTCCAATGACCCCTCAACCCTCTTGTGTCTCCCCTGTCCCCAGGTGGCTGCCAGAATAGCCTTAAACCTCTCGGGGGCAACCAGACCCTGGCGTTGGCCACCACAGCCACCACTGCCATGGTGTCGGTGGAGCCTGAAGCTCCTCAAGGACCTTCGGTGCCCAGCGTCCAGCCCTGCCACCTGCTGACCTTCTCCCCCATCAGAATCCCACTCCTGGCTTCACCTTTTCCAGGTAAGGTCGCTCCTGGAGGCACTCGTGAGCAGCTTCTCATTTTTTATTCCCTTTTTCTCCCTCCCTTCCCCTTTTTCTCCCTCCCTTCCCCTTTTTCTCCCTCCCTTCCCCTTTTCCTCCCTCCCTTCCCCTTTTCCTCCCTCCCTTCCCCTTTTTCTTTTCTTCTTTTCCTTTCTTTTCATGAGAGTTAAGCTTCTGAGTGTGAATTTTGTTGTGTTTTGGTAAATACCCCGGGCATGGAGGTGGCATTCTTGTAATCTGGATTTAAAGTGTTTTGGATTTTTTTGTTTGTGGGTTTCATGCCAGGTTTAGATGTGGTTGCTTGCTGAAAAAATTGCTGTTTTAACGTGACTTTGGGTGAGAACCTTCTGAATGTGGCAGCTGGGGAAGCACTGGGCACCCCTGGTTGCTCTGGAGGTCTGATTTAGAACCTTTAGGGTAATTCTTGAAACTGTTCATCCTTTGAATGCTTAAGAGGGTATTTGGAAATGTTATGTAGCAATTAAGAATTTAAATTATGGTGTATTTTCCCTCTTTCTGGTGCTTGAAGTTGTAACACAGCGAGACTGAACGTTGCAGGAGAGATGCAGTTCTGGCTTTGGGTGCTCAGGTGGAATTTTCTGATGAGAAATGTTTCTCAGTAATTATTGTTCCTGATGAGCAGGCGTTAGAATCACCCAGCTAAGTGTCTGCCAGGGGCGTATGGCAGCGGTTTTTGGGGAGCCTGAAGAGCAAACTGAGCCATAAAAATAAAGGTACAAGTCGTTCAGGCTTTGTCAAGAAGGGTTGATGCTGAAATAAGACCTGAAGGTGCAGTGAGTCGCTGCTGCAGGGCCAGGAGCTGCTGGTGCTTCCTGCAGAGTTTTATTTGACCCACAGAAACTTTTTTACCTGTTTTAGAGAAGAATCCAAAGGGGGTAAAAAAAAAATCATTCTTTCCCTGTGCTGAAAAGCAGAATTACATCCAGATGTGTCATGCCCTGAACTGGGGCCATGTGGGAGGCTGGACTTGTGATGTACAGCTCCAGAGTGAGCTCAAGTGGAGCCTCTTGGGCACGATGGATATTTGAATGTGGGATGTTGTGGATATTCTACTGCTGGGAGGCTCAAGCACGTCTATAAGGGGCTCAGCCTGCAGTGACAAACACGTCAGGCCATGATAATTGTTGCCTTCCTTTCGACTGGGTGTATGATAGGCTATCAAACATCACACTTTGAGTGCCTGAGCAATCATCCTATTATCAATCATTCGCGCTAAACCACACACTTCTGGGTGCTTTCTCTCACAGAATATATAGTAGCATTTTAGAGAAGAAAGCTTGAAAACGCCAGGTCCATGTGCAATAAAGTGGAGCTCCAGCTTAGCTGTTTTTCTCTATTAATCACCATCTCTGGAGGGAAGGTGCCTTCGCAGAGGCTGACATAAAACACTTTTATGAAATTCCTTTTTATTGTGCTGGCAGAGGAGAGGACTCAAAGGTGTTTGGTTTAGATTATCTTTGTCAACAGCAGCTTGATGAACAGGTTCTCCACCAGTGCCAGGCTGGGTGTGGGGTGGGAAGGAGCATCTGGGTGCCCTTGGGGCAGAGACTACTCTGCAGCTGGGCTGGGATCCTCTGGATGGGTCTGGGAAGAGAGAACCAGAAATGCCTGATAGAAGAGGGGTGAGGGTCTCTGTACATGCTCAGGAAGGAGCCAGGCTCTTGATAGGTATCAGTGACAAGGAGCTACTGGAGAGAGTCCAGCAGAGGCTCTGGAGATGCTGAGGGGCTGGAGCATCTCTGTGCCAGGACAGGCTGAGAGCCCTGGGGCTGCTGAGCTGGAGAGGAGAAGCCTCAGAGGGGATCTGAGCAGTGCTGAGCAAGAGCTAAAGGGCCCCAGGGGGCAAGAGGCTGGGGCCAGACTCTGCTCAGTGGTGCCCAGCCACAGGCCAAGGGGCAACGGGCACCAACTGGAACCCAGGAGGTGCCACCTGAGCAGGAGGAGAAACTTCTTTGGGGTGAGGGTGGAGCCTGGAGCAGCTGCCCAGAGAGGCTGTGGAGTCTCCTGCTCTGGAGAGATCCCAAACCTGCCTGGCTGTGACCCTGGGCACCCTGCTGGGGGTGAGCTGCTGGAGCAGGGGGGGTGGGATGAGATGATCTCCAGAGGTCCCTTCCCACCCCTCCACGCTGGGGTTCTGGGGTTGAGTGAAGGTGAAGGAGAAGCACCTGCAGAAGCTTTGAGCCCAGCCCGTGCTCACTTAGGCTGCCCCTGCCTCTGCTGCTGAAGCACGTTGGGTGAGGTGCTGAAACTGAGTTTAACTCACAGGAAAAACAATGAAGGGCAGCTCTGCTGTCAGAACTAAATGTCTCTGCTGCCATATCAGTGAATGCTGGGGGAGCACCAGGAAAGGCTCAGCTGATGCCCAGGAATCCCCAGTGTGGGGCAGGTTTATAACCCCCGTGTCCCCTCAGTTAAAAGTACCCATGAAATCACATTAAATGTGACTTTTGTTCTCCAGGAGGAGCACATCATGGAGGGGCAGCTGCATTTTTCTTGATCTGTGTCTCATTTGTAAAGTTACTGTGGTAATTAATGAACTTTCCATGTTCTCCTTGTCTAAAGCTTATGCGAGGCAATGTGCACGGAATGGGAATGAACTTGGGAAACCAAAGATTAAATAATTTCTAGCTGAATTCTCCATGTCAGTGGGTGCCTGTGAGGCTGAGCGTGGTGTGCTGGCTTGTACACTGTTAATTGATTACACTGGATATCAGATTTTTGATACTACCTCGTGCAGGGCTGTGTTTCTAATCGCAGTGATTTGTTCAGTCAATAACCTTACGATGGAGAGTTTATTCCTAAGGAGGCCTTTTCCTAGGGTTAGATTTGCAGCCTTGTGGCTCGACTCGTTAATTTCTGCTGGTTAATTAGTAAACTTGGTGAGGAATGGCAGGTTGGGCTGGCAGGGGGAGGGTCCAGGCTCCAGCCAACGTCCTGCCTTGCAGAGGATGTTTCTTGGAGCTCCCTTGATGCAAATCACAAGGTCACGTGGATCAAGGAGAACTCGGAGCTCCCAGATTCTGATGGTGATTTTTACAAGTTCATTTCAATGCAATTTATTTTGCATTTTGTGAAAGAAAATCAGAAGTAGAGCTATAACAGCATATGTGGGGTATTTAGGGAGTTGAAAATCTTTTGTAGCCCTTTCCTGTGTGGGATGCTGTGGAGGGTCCCTGCTGGGTTTTTGGCCCTGGGGATGAGCAGACAAGGGTGGGATGTGCTGGGTGAGAGGATGGTGGAAGTTTGCACTGCCCTTGGCTCTGTGATGGGAGTAGTTCTGGAATCATTCTTGACATTAGGCATTAGTTTGGCACCATGCTGATTGTAGGGATGTTTAATGATGAAATTAATTCATGGCAAAGAAGAAACTTCAAATACCCTCTATTTAAGGTTAAGGAAAATATGTGTCTGTATGTGAAGTGGTTTGTGATCCTCTGGAGGGCTGAGGTTGGATGTTGCAACATAATGCAAAACAAAAATACAAGCAAGGCTCTGACCAGAGTCCTTCCTAGAATAGGACATGAATTTTTTGCTCTTAATGCTTCTGGACTTGAGATTTAAACAGTTAACATCCATTAAAAACCAGAAACTCAGCTGGATTTCAGTGTGGTGTGCTCACTGGAGTAGACTGATAGTGCTAATCCTTGTCGTGGTGCAAGGCAGGGTTGAAATGGAATTCCAGCATCATTTCCCTCTTGGGTTTGGGTTTGTTCACTGCTTATGCAACTGGAAATTGTTGTTCCTGACCTATAAAAGATGGTTTCTGCCACTGCCCTGATCCAGAGCTAGCACGTTATTCCTCCCTGTGCTTCAAACCCATGTTGTTGGTCACATTCCTCATGGACTGGAGTGTGAGAAGGCCACCAAGTGCCTGGTGTCCTGACTCCAGCTCAGGAAGATCTGCTGGGGCTTTGCTGATGACATGAATAGATATCAGGTGACATCTTCAAATAGGGAGTAGGTGTTTGAGAAGGCTGAAAAATCTTCAAGTGCTTGTGTGTGGTGTTGCAGAAGGACAAAGCTAAATGCAGACCAGAGGTGGTGTGGGAAGCTAAAGGTGCCTGGAGCTGGTGAGGCTCTAGGGTATTACAGAAAAAGCTGAAATTAGAATACAATAATTAATTCAAACAGACTTTTGACTTTACATTCTCTATTCTGGGAGCTGCTGGTGCTGGCTCCTCCAGCCGTGCCCCGAGGAGATGCAGTTTGGGGTCCAGGGGTCTGGGCTTCTGTTTCCAGCAGCTGGAAGGAAGCTGCTGGAACTGCACTCTGCTTTTCTAGCCTGGTTTGGTTACTCATTCCTCCTCTGGCTTTTTGAAAAAAGGGAAAAAAAGGTGTGGAAACACCTGGGTAACACCAGAGGGTTTTGCTCCTGAGAGCAGCTCCATCAGTTTGTGCAGGAATGTGACACTGGAGATTTTTGCAGATGAAAACTGGTGCCTCTCAGACTTGATTTCTATCTCCAACCCACTGGTCTCTCCCCATTCCAGACCAGCCCTGTGGTGATCAGTTCTGTAGCAGAGTTGTGAGGTAATTTGTACCCTCTCAGACACACTCTTCCATTTCTTCTCTGCCAGGAGGTAGAATTCTGTCTTAATTCATTTCAGCGTTTTCCAAGAAACTCAGCCTGATGCTTTTTTTTGCGTACAAAAATCCCATTTCTCCCTGATGCTTCTTGAACAAAGTTAAACGTTCCAATTTTCTGTTGTTGACAGGGTCTGGGATGTGCTTGTGCTCCTCTAGTGAGGTTTTATGGGGTGTAACACGGTGCCTGTTCCCATTCCCCTGCGGGGAGCTCTGCTGCTGCCACGCTGGAAGGTGGAGTGGTGGTGGCAGCCCCTTGGAGAACGTGGCCAGAGCAGTTTTCCTACCTTTAAACTTTAAAGAAATAAGGTCTGTGTGCTGCCTTCCACCCAGTGTGTAGAGCAGTGCCAGCAGAATGCTGACCTGGCCCTCTT